GGGGGGGGGGGGGGGGCGGAGGGGGGGGGATTTGCCGGCCTTACCTCCGACTCAAAATCATATTGGAAAATCCGCCACCCTAGGAATAATGGCGAAGTGAGGGGGTAGGCCTGTCCAACCGTGTTTTCTTCCTTGGAGTTATTTACATTGAAGTTTACCGCCCCCCCTAACCCCTCAGCCCCCCCAACCCCTTTGAATTACTGGTGTTGTGGGGATGGGGAGGGGGTGTGCCTTCCTTACCTGGAAGTATATATCCATTGTATAAAAAATAATACGAATGAATAAACAGACAAATCATACAGAAGAATGTGGCCTGATGGCCATAGGCTACTTTCTTCTGATTACAAAAGGATTGAGAAAGAGACTTATGCCTATACAAACCTAATCCATAAGGAATTGTTATTATCTACATATTATACTTCATTCAGGTCATTCGGTATATTGTGAATATCGCTATAAAGTTATATTTTCTATGTATATGTTATTTGTTGTTTTTGTTGATTTGTTAATTCTTGTTATAAATAATATTTAGAAATGAAAAACCTTTCTGTTGAATTTTCAATTGGCTGCTCTTACGTGATATAATAAAATAAGTACATTAAGAAAAGAAGACACGAGTTTCTAAATAGCTTATTCAATAGGTTATATTCCACAGTGCTTTAATGCATTATAATTATATAATGTAATATAACAATAGATCTAGTTCAATCGAATTTAACGCCACAGAGGCCTACTTTTTATTTAATAGCAGTTTTCTTAAAGTCGAGAAAGAAAAAATGATCTTGTGTGTTTGTGTCGGATTAACTACCGTCTGTAGAAAGAGAGACTGGAAAGTCACGACTATATTGATATCAAGGTGAAGGTCGTTAGGTATAAACTTCCGAGTGTCTTGTGACTGGATGCATCATTGAGTTGTCTTACATAAGTTAAATCATTTTTAATTCATAAACTTTACCTGGCGAGGTGAGCTTGCCTGGGATTCTGCTGCAAAGATGTGGAAACTACTGCTAGTTGTGACAAGCCTATTGTCATTATCGTCTGCTTATGATCCGACTTGGAAATCCATTGATTCGAGACCGTTACCTCAGTGGTACGATGAAGCCAAACTATTTTCATCCACTGGGGAGTGTTTTCAGTGCCTAGTTTCTCGTCAGAGTGGTTTTGGTGGACGTGGAAAGGTCAGCACATCCCTGCTTTAGAATTATTCATGAAGAATAACTACAGACCAAGTTTCACCTACCCTGACTTCGCTCCACAGTTTACAACTGAATTTTTCAATCCTGTTGAATGGGCCAAGATATTTGAAAATTCCGGTGCAGAGTAAGTTATGCTTATTTTGTCTCTGACTTTGTTCACAGTGGAATTAGACCTATATAGAGACAAATTAATTTTGGTTATTTTAATTCAACATTCAACGAAGGCCTGATGGGTGAACAGTTAAGAAGTGCTAGGTATCGTCAATCATTCCACGATACGATACATATTCTGATATGGGGTAATGGGATAAATATTAACATTTTATCTTTACAGTTGCGTTATATCATGGCTTGTCGTATTGCAATACATGATTTCACCGATATATCATGCTAGCACTAGTGGACAGGCTGGTTTGTCCGAATTGTTTTTAGCAGATTTTTTTTGAAAACTTAAAAAACACTACATATCTACACAAGGTTTTTTTGGTCGCTAATGTGGGGAGACAACTGCCCTTACTCCTGGTCCTCTCCTACCCCTATGCATTTCAATTCTATAACCTTTTATAAATGTTGGTTTAAAACCTTGCATAAAGGGCCAAAACTTGAATAGGCCTACATGAAATAAGGTAGATATTGTCCGATAGCCATCTTGGATCAATTTATTAGTGACAACAGCTTAACGTCAACACATGTTTCACATTGCCAGTTGATGGTTATTTATAAAATAGACTACATGATAAATACCTTAATGATGATTTATAATGTAAGTCATATTTCGAGGGCTTACTGTAAGAAGTTTTTATGTCCAAGTTTGGTGAAAATGAGTTATGTCCATTAGTTAGTTATTAACCTTTTTAATATTGATTTTAATGTTTGATATTGTGATATTCACCACTATCTCCCATCTCTAGTACTCTATACTACAGGTATATATTGTAGGTATGTTGTATTAACTAGTAAACATCATGAAGGATTCACCAACTGGCCTTCCAACTATTCTTTCAACTGGAATTCTATGGCTGTTGGACCCAAGAGAGACCTAGTTGGTATGTAGCCTACTGTTTTTTTTTATTAACAATCTTTTCCAGACAATGTTCTAGTTAGTTTTATCAGAGAGAAAAAAACTATATTTTACAAGAATAACAACTTAGGTTCACAAGGTTCTACCCTCTTGGCTTTGATCTTTCCTGGATTATCCATACCCATTTACAGCTGGATCGATTAGATTTATGAGTGGCATATTTAAGGTCATCAGACTTTTACACAGCAATTTATAGAACCCAGGGACTCAATTTGGTAATGTAACTAAGAAATTGACACCATGTTAAAGATGGTTTCCCTTATTTACATATATTTAATTACCTGCAGAATTCCAAAGAGTGACTGATGAAGAAAGATCAAATAGTCTCTTTTTTTTTCCAAACTGTACATACATGGACATTTATGATTGGTTAAAACTCTTAATTATATGCAATAAGAATATAAGGATATGATTTAGAATACATGATAATTCATTAGAAGCACCAGTTCATCAAATGGTTTCTAGGTGAGCTAGGAGCAGCTGTAACAGTCTACAACTCTTTATTTTGTTTTCTAGGTGAGCTAGGAGCAGCTGTAAAAGTCTACAACTCTTTATTTTGTTTTCTAGGTGAGCTAGGAGCAGCTGTAAAAGTCTACAACTCTTTATTTTGTTTTCTAGGTGAGCTAGGAGCAGCTGTTAAAGACTATAACTCTATATTTTGTTTTCTAGGTGAGCTAGGAGCAGCTGTAAAAGACTATAACTCTATATTTTGTTTTCTAGGTGAGCTAGGAGCAGCTGTTAAAGACTATAACTCTATATTTTGTTTTCGAGGTGAGCTAGGAGCAGCTGTAAAAGACTATAACTCTATATTTTGTTTTCTAGGTGAGCTAGGAGCAGCTGTAAAAGACTATAACTCTATATTTTGTTTTCTAGGTGAGCTAGGAGCAGCTGTAAAAGACTATAACTCTATATTTTGTTTTCTAGGTGAGATAGGAGCAGCTGTAGAAGACTATAACTCTATATTTTTTTTTCTAGGTGAGCTAGGAGCAGCTGTAAAAGACTATAGCTCTCTATTTTTTTTCTAGGTGAGCTAGGAGCAGCTGTAAAAGACTATAACTCTATATTTTGTTTTTTATGTGAGCTAGGAGCAGCTATAAAAGACTATAGCTCTATATTTTGTTTTCTAGGTGAGCTAGGAGCAGCTGTAAAAGACTATAGCTCTATATTTTTTTTCTAGGTGAGCTAGGAGCAGCTTTAAAAGACTACAACTCTTTATTTTGTTTTCTAGGTGAGCTAGGAACAGCTGTAAAAGACTATAACTCTATATTTTGTTTTCTAGGTGAGCTAGGAGCAGCTGTAAAAGACTATAACTCTATATTTTGTTTTTCTAGGTGAGCTAGGAGCAGCTATAAAAGTCTACAACTCTTTATTTTGTTTTCTAGGTGAGCTAGGAGCAGCTGTTAAAGACTATAACTCTATATTTTGTTTTCTAGGTGAGCTAGGAACAGCTATAAAAGACTATAACTCTATATTTTGTTTTCTAGGTGAGCTAGGAGCAGCTATAAAAGACTATAACTCTATATTTTGTTTTCTAGGTGAGCTAGGAGCAGCTATAAAAGACTATACAACTCTTCATTTTGGTTTATATCATTCTCTATTTGAATGGTTTCATCCACTGTATAATATAGATAAAGAGAATAATTTCTCTACTCAGTATTTTGTTGATGTAAGTATACTATTTAAAATCAAGGTATATATTCCTCTAGTATTCTCTTAACCAGCTGATAGAACTTGGTCAACAAGATATGTTTATTTTGTACGTGCGAAAATCTTAGAAAATATTGAGAAAAGTGTATTCCTTAACATGTCTGAAAGTTTTAACTATAAAAATTCAGCGGTAAATTTTTTTTAAGGCCAAAACTATTCAAAAAGTTTACTCGTACCATGTCTGTAATAAACTGAAAGAACTTACAATTACATACTTGTGTAGTTATTTACTAGATATCTTCTGGACCACCATGCTAACATAATCATGAAAATAACGAAATTACAGATAATAAACGATAGGTCAGATTTCTTTAAGAAATGTGGCTTGAAAAACTGAAACTTCTGAAAGTTCTATCAGCTGATATAATGATTAGAATCCATAATAACATAATTTGTTACAGGGAAAGACAATGCCAGAACTTTATGAAATAGTCAAAGCCTATAAACCGGACATAATTTGGTCAGATGGGACTGGAGATGCTACAAGCGAATACTGGAAGTCACGAGAATTTCTAGCCTGGCTCTATACTGACAGGTATTTGTTGTTCTATATTAATTCCAGAGTAAGGCCATGCCTGAGTTGTATGAGATTGTTAACGCCTATAAACCAGATGTGATTTGGTCGGACGGTGATTGGGAAGCTACAAGCCAGTACTGGAAATCAACAGAGTTTCTAGCTTGGCTCTATAATGACAGGTATTTTATAATTTAGTATGTATGTATGTCATGATTGTAAATTGTGTTGAAACATTATACAGTTGTCAATAATGCATAACTGTAGCTTGGTCTCTATCAATTGGTAAAGTAAATATTTAGATGACTATACATATAGCTGAAAATGAGCTCTATCAGCTAGTAAAGTAAATATTTAGATAACTATACAGATAGCTGAAATTGAGTTATATCAGCTGGTAAAGTAAATATATAGATGACTATACAGATAGCTGAGATTGAGCTCTATCAGCTGGTAAAGTAAATAGTTAGATGACTCTACAGATAGCTGAAATTGAGTTCTATCAGCCGGTAAAGTAAATATTTAGATGACTATACAGATAGCTGAAATTAAGCTCTATCAGCTGGCAAAGTAAATATTTAGATGACTATACAGATAGCTGAGATTGAGCTCTATAAGCTGGTAAAATAAATATATAGATGACTATACAGATAGCTGAAATTAAGCTCTATCAGCTGGTAAAGTAAATATTTAGATGACTATACAGATAACTGAAATTGAGCTCTATCAGCTAGTAAAGTAAATATTTAGATGACTATACAGATAGCTGATGTTAAGCTCTATCAGCTGGTAAAGTAAATATTTAGAAGACTATACATATAGCTGAAATTGAGCTCTATCAGCTAGTAAAGTAAATATTTAGATGACTATACAGATAGCTGAAATTGAGCTCTATCAGCTGGTAAAGTAAATATTTAGATGACTATACAGATAGCTGAACATGAGCTCTATCAGCTGGTAAAGTAAATATTTAGATAACTATACAGATAGCTGAACATGAGCTCTATCAGCCGGTAAAGTAAATATTTAGATGACTATACAGATAGCTGAAATTGAGTTCTATCAGCCGGTAAAGTAAATATTTAGATGACTATACAGATAGTTGAAATTGAGTTCTATCAGCTGGTAAAGTAAATATTTAGATGACTATACAGATAGCTGAACATGAGCTCTATCATCTGGTAAAGTGAATATTTAGATGACTATACAGATAGCTGATATTGAGTTCTATCAGCTGGTAAAGTAAATATTTAGATGACTATACAGATAGCTGAAATTGAGCTCTATCAGCTGGTAAAGTAAATATTTAGATGACTATACAGATAGCTGACCATGAGCTCTATCAGCTGGTAAAGTAAATAATTAGATGACTATACAGATAGCTGAAATTGAGCTCTATCAGCTGGTAAAGTAAATATTGAGATGACTATACAGATAGCTGACCATGAGCTCTATCAGCTGGTAAAGTAAATAATTAGATGACTATACAGATAGCTGAAATTGAGCTCTATCAGCTGGTAAAGTAAATATTGAGATGACTATACAGATAGCTGACATTGAGCTCTATCAGCTGTTAAAGTAAATATTTAGATGACTATACAGACAGCTGAACATGAGCTCTTATCATCTGGTAAAGTGAATATTTAGATGACTATACAGATAGCTGAAACTGAGTTCTATCAGCTGGTAAAGTAAATATTAAGATATCTATACAGATAGCTGAAACTGAGTTCTATCAGCTGGTAAAGTAAATATTTAGATAACTATACAGATAGCTGAAATTGAGCTCTATCAGCTGGTAAGGTAAATATCTAGACAACTATTATACTATATATTGTAGTCCTGTTAAAGATACAGTAGTAACTAATGACAGATGGGGTAAAGATACTACATGTAAACATGGTGGATTTTTAACCTGTAAAGATAAATACAATCCAGGTAATATTATAAAGTAAAATGTAAAATTCTAAATTTCATTATTTTATGTCCATCTACGACCATTATAATAATAATAATAGACTCTTTATTTTACATGGGTCAGAATTAGGCCCAATACACAAGGACATTCAACCCATAAAGTGTTAACTAAAAAGGTTATAGACTGATTGGTACACTACCTGTGCTTTCTTTGAAGGAGAAGAAGAGTGGTTTCTTTCTTCATCGACTGCCTTTTGGTCTCTGACAGCCAACACTCATCTTGGGAGGAGGAAATATTAAAGAATACTGACTGGATCTGCTACAAAAAACATCTGCACACTGACCAGCCTGATGGGCTTTTGATCAAAGAAAACAAGGGTGGTTTCCTATCCTTAGATTTATTTCTGTCTGTATTTTCTAATTGCTAATAACTTATTTAAATCAAGGTGTGGTCCAGAAGAGGAAGTTTGAGAACGCTATGACCTTAGATAAATATTCCTGGGGATATCGTAGAAACGCTAAATTAACAGATTTCTTAACAATGGATGAATTGTTGTCTACTTTCATTCAAACAGTCAGGTAAGACTAAACTAGTGTCCAAAAGAAACGATACCAACTTATTTTCAAAATTGTTTTTTACTAAGTGAATTGTCTAATATGAAAACATGCCAATTCGTATTGCACATCCCAAACACAGCACGATAAAAATACCGGGAACATGTGATCACTTCCGGGGAAAAAACGTAAATTTCGTGAAAGTGACATTTCCCTCTCTAGCATGTTCTGCACGTGCATAAAAACTGTATTAAACGGCTGATCAGACACGTTGATATCACAGCAAAAAAAAGAACACAAGATATGTTTGACAGCCATCGAGAGAGAGAGAGCCGTTGGAATGGTCCAACAAGGACCGACACACGTCGACGTTTGCCAGAAGATTAGGCTGCGCACGCATCACTATCACCAGGTTGATGCAGCGGTTACGTCAGACAGGTCAGACGTCAGACAGGCCCAGGAGTGGAAGACCACGAGTAACCACGCCCCGTGAAGATCGTTACATCCGGGTATTACACCTGAGGAACCGCACCGTAACAGCGACGTCCACGGCGGCTACAGCACTGGGACACAGGATCAGTCGACAGACCGTCTACAGGAGACTACGGCAGTATGGTATCCGGCCACGTCATCCCTACCGCGGACCGCTCCTGACGCCTCGACACCGGAACAACAGACTGATCTGGGCCAGGAGAGTTCGACGTTGGCAACGGTGGGACTGGGCACATGTTATGTTCTCTGATGAGAGCAGATTCCTCATCTTCAAAAACGATGGACGGCAGCTTGTATACCAACGATTTGGTGAACGTTTGGCGCCTAACTGTATCCAACAGGTCCGGCCGTTTGGAGGTGGAGGGTTAATGGTTTGGGGTGGCATATGTGGTGACGTCAAAACGAGGCTTGTCGTAATTCGTGGAAACCTGAATGCACAGCGTTATATTGATGACATTCTACGGCCTGTTGTGGTGCCCTTTATTCAGCAACAGCCTCGAGGAATGGCAACGCATCACTCCCAACGTCATCAGACGTTTGACGGCATCAGTCCGTAGGCGTGTTCTGGCATGAAATGATGCTCATGGTGGACATACCCACTACTGACTTGACTTTGTGACGTGTGGTGTGACATTTCCCGTTGTTTCTGTGATCAGTGCTCTAACGAAATGTTCTTTTTTCGACCCCACCCATCTTTAAAGGCTTGTCATATTGGTTGTACAGATTTTATTGAAATGAAATTTTTGTACAGATGTTGTGAAAGGATTTCTCAAAAGCATAACACCAATCCTAAACTTCTGCATTGTTTAGTTTTTCTTTATGTCGTTGCAAACAGGTGGTATCGTTTCTTTTGGACACTAGTTTAGAATAACATTACTATTAAACTCAATAAATATTATGTGGACTCTCTGAAAGGGATGAAGACTTGACAAACCTAGATACCACTTAAATATTATTACCATGTGGACTCTCTGAAAGGGATGAAGACTTGACAAACCTAGATACCACTTAAATATTATTACCATGTGGACTCTCTGAAAGGGATGAAGACTTGACAAACCTAGATACCACTTAAATATTATTACCATGTGGACTCTCTGAAAGGGATGAAGACTTGACAAACCTAGATACCACTTAAATATTATTACCATGTGGACTCTCTGAAAGGGATGAAGACTTGACAAACCTAGATGCCACTTAAATATTATTACCATGTGGACTCTCTGAAACGGATGAAGACTAGACAAACCTAGATACCACGTAAATATTATTTGCTATGTGGACTCTCTGAGAGGAATGTGAAGTCGTCAAACCTAAATACCAAATAAATATTTTGGTGTGTGAACTCTCTGAAACAAAAAACAAATAATAGTGTCCTTCTGGTGAAATATTTTTTTAAATCTCTTCAATCCATATCTTCTGAATTTCTTTTCAATCTCGATTACAATTCTAGTAAAATAGTTTGATATTCGTAGTTGTGGTGGAAATATGTTGATGAATGTAGGACCAACTAAAGAAGGAACTCTGATACCAATATTTCAAGAGAGACTGAGTGAGATGGGAGAATGGTTAAGAGTGAATGGAGAGGGAATTCGTAAAACCAGACCATGGATCCATCAGAATGATACTATAACACCAGGTGTATGGTAAGTATAGTATAGTCATGATAGGTAAAACATTCAGCAAAAACCCAGGCAATTCAATGCCAAAATTACAACGTGAAATGCTTGTACACATCTACAGGCTTTTGAAAACAGTGAGATAGTAAGTAAAGGCATGAAATGGTCTAAATATCTGTTCCACCAGGTGATTCCAATATATAAGCTATGGAATTGGATTGGAATTGTCTGGCCTACTTGTAAAGTAATAGAATAATAATGATTATGGTTGGGTATCAATTAGAAAATTGAAATCGATTATCAATGGCAGACTCCCTATTAATAATCGATTAATAATCAGTATGATTTAATTGAGAAACCCTGTCAATACTAAATTAAAAACATGCCAAAATTCTAAATTTCATGGGTAATTTTTGCGTTATAGAAGTATATTCTTGTTTTGATCGGTTATTATAGTTTATTGTGGGTATGTTATGTATTGAAGGGAAACTATGTAGAAGAGATTACTACTTGTTAACAGGTACAATGGAGAAAATGTAACTTTGACTTATAATCGATTATGAAAATTGATAATTATATATTTAATTATATAATTATTATTTCGACACTTTTACTCAGACCTAGTAACATTGTAACAGCATTGTCCTTCTCATTAACTGTTAATTATCAATAGCTATCACAGGCTAGACCATGTATTTGTATATCTGTATCATTATATCTGTATCTGTGTATCTTTATCTGTATCTGTGTATCTGTATCTGTATAATTGTATCTGTATATCTGTGTATCTGCATATATCTGTATATCTGTATCTGTGTATGTGTATATCTGTATCATTATATCTGTGTATATGTGTATCTGTAAGTGTATATGTGTATCTATATCTGTATCTGTATATTTATCTATTTCAGGTATACCATGAAGAAAGAATCAGATGGAAGTGTTAGTGTTTATTGTTTTGTTTTAAAATGGCCAACAAGCAACGTGTTAAGTCTGGGTGTTCCAAAACCATCCTCTAATACTCAAATTACATTACTTGGTTATCCAGGCACTCTCAGTTGGAACAAAGGCTCTGGGTCTGGAATAGATATCAATATTCCTGCGATACCTTTCAATAAAATGCCCTGCAAGTACGTCTGGGCGTTTAAACTGACCAAGCTAAGTAATGAACTTAAACATCATTTGCTCAAATTTAAACCTGGCCAGTTTTAATCTGTTTCTTAACAATTGTTTGTGTCAGGTTTTTTTCGAAAAAGGTTTTACAATCAATTCTTTTCAATAGTGTATTCATTTTTAAGGAAATATTCAAATCTTATATCAAATAACAATATAGGGTATGTGGACTCTCTGAAATGGATGCTGAGTTGACAAACCTAAATTCCAAATAAACAATGTAGACTATGTGGACTCTCTGAAATGGATGCTGAGTCCACAAACCTAAATTCCAAATGATAATATCACTTATTTAGACTCTCTTAATGTTGAGAAATGCAGTGGTAGATTGACATCAGAAGGGTAAACCTTGTAATATTGATTGTTTATTTGGTATATTTATCACTCACTGTATGGCTGGTGATATTTTTGTTTGTGTTAACTTGCCAGAAAGAACAAGAAGAGATATTTTTTATATTTGAATTGACACAAAAAAATACTTTTTATATAGCATTTCACTGACTTGTTAGAATACTATATGTTACATATCTTTAGAATTGGATCCAGTATTTTCACGTCACATCATGTATCTTACCACTGCTTGCCTTAATATTTAGGCTACTTAAATTAATTTTAAATTAATTTTTTTCTCTTATTTCATAAATGTTCAAAATATAACAAAAACACAAGGGGTATATTATGGTATAACTCACTTCTTTAATAACAAAGCACATAACGTTTCAACACAATTTACACCTGTCGTCATCAGATGAAATGAAACATGATAATGTCGTTCAAATCTTAATGTTCAAAATAAACTGTATGCCAGAAAAACCCCCTTCTGTTAAATCATATTTACAATTAACTACTTTTCCAGTGGTTAACATTTTCATCAGCCCAATGATAATCTAAGACTCTCAGTAGTAATTTGTAGTTGATATTTCAATAAGAAAACAGTGCAGTCAGAAAGAAGTGCCTAATGTGATTTTTCATGAAATATTTCACAAATGCCTAAAATTTACTTTAACAAGACTTAAACATTCCCAACTGTGTGTGAAATATATTGTGATTTAATGAATTCCTTTTTTGGGTATTTTTTCTGGTTTATAATTTTGTAAATTTGAATAATGTATTCAATTTTCTATTCAAATTGTTATTATAATTATTTTTTAAATAAAAGTTATAGAAGTGTTTTTGTTTTATAGCAGAGCCGGGAAGGGCCTTAGCAAGACTTCATTGTTCTGGGAGGTAAGATATGCGGAGGGGCAAGTAATATATCTATAGGGGCAAGAAATATATCTGGAGAGACAAGTAATATATGCGGAGGGGCAAGTAATATATCTAGAGCGCAGGACTATATGCGTAGGGGCAAGTAATATATCTATAGGGGCAAGAAATATATCTGGAGAGACAAGTAATATATGCGGAGGGGCAAGTAATATATCTAGAGCGCAGGAATATATGCGAAGTTGCAAGTAATATATCTAGAGGGCAGGCATATATGCGGAGGGACAAGTAATATTTGCGGAGGAGTAAGTAATATATGCGGAGAGGCAAGAAATATAAGCGGAGGAGTAAGTAACATTTGCGGAGGGACAAGTAACATATCTAGAGGGGCAAGTAATATAACCGGAGGGGCAAGTAGTATATCCGGAGGGACAAGTAATATATCTAGAGTGGCAAGAAATATATCTGGAGAGACAAGTAATATATGCGGAGGGGCAAGTAATATATCTAGAGCGCAGGAATATATGCGGAGTTGCAAGTAATATATCTAGAGGGCAGGCATATATGCGGAGGGGCAAGTGATATTTGCGGAGGAGTAAGTAATATATGCGAAGGGGCAAGAAATATATCTGGAGAGACAAGTAATATATGCGGAGGGGCAAGTAATATATCTAGAGCGCAGGAATATATGCGGAGTTGCAAGTAATATATCTAGAGGGCAGGCATATATGCGGAGGGGCAAGTGATATATGCGGAGGGACAAGTAATATTTGTGGAGGAGTAAGTAATATATGCGAAGGGGCAAGAAATATAAGCGGGGGAGTAAGTAACATTTGCGGAGGGACAAGTAATATATCTAGAGGGGCAAGTAATATAACCGGAGGGACAAGTAGTATATCCGGAGGGACAAGTAATATATCTAGAGGGGCAAGTAATATATCCGGAGGGACACGTAATATATCTAGAGGGACAAGTAATATATTCAGAGGGGCAAGTAATATATCTAGAGGGACAAGTAATATATCTAGAGGGACAAGTAATATATCTAGAGGGACAAGTAATATTTCTAGAGGGGCAAGTAATATATCTAGAGGGACAAGTAATATATCTAGAAGGGCAAGAAATATAAGCAGAGGGTAATAGGGGTTTGATGTTTAATTGCAATAATGGAATGGGTCGGTTTTCAGATTTTTTCCAAGGGGGAAACCTAATTCGAATTTTGCGATTTTTCCATGAACGGTTTTGAGTCATTGCACTTGACTTGAAAAAAGAAATTTGTTTGAGAACACAACAGTTTTTTACTTCTTGTCACAAATATAATGCCGAAAGTAACTACTGCAATATCTCATCTTAAATGAAACAAATGTCCCATGAGGAAATTTTCACCAAAAAAAAAAAACCTCTTTCCATGAAAAATTGCCTTTTGAGTTTTGGAGAATTTCATGCAAACGATGAATGGCCACCTCCAAACTCTTGATTATAAAGTACATAGTTTACAGAAGCTGACAGAATAAACAATGGAGATAGGCTGTAGGAACTGAAAGACAGAATTAGAGAGTAATTCAGCAATATACTACTTGAACAAACCGGACAGGCAATATCTTGTCACGGAAAAGTGGAATTCACGTAATTTTTGCTGGAGAATGGTGGATCTCTTGAGCAATAACTCAATAAAAGATGTAAAATTAAAGTAATTATTTTCGGCATTATATTTTTTAACAAGGAATTTGAAAAAGCTTAATTCCAAAGTTATTCGACCTATAAAGTTGTAATTTGTTGAAAAAGATGTCTGATATCTTATCTAATATAAGAGGTCAAAATATTATGATCATAGCTTTGATACTTTAAGACACAACTCGAATTGAAAAGTGCTATCGTTTTTTTCTGGGCCAACCGATAATTGAATCAATACAAAACAAAAACGAATTATGAAGCTCTTTAAAATGAGATATTAATCCATATTTTAGCCGATTTTCATTTCTGTCAGCTGCCAGTGGGTCTATGACTCGTTGCCTGGCATGCTATCTTTACTTTTAAACGGGGGTAATAGTCACTTAAATTCATTTTACTTTTTACTATCATTCAAGGGGAGGTAACACGGGACTCACTCCACTAAAATACTTTATGATTGCATACGAATGTAGTCCAGGCTATTTTATACGCCCACATGAAATAACTAGTCACTAATATTCAAGGGGAGGTAACTAGACCCCACTTTATGCAAATGATGCATTCCAGGCTATTTTTAGAAATGTTCTCTCTCTCCCTTTTGGGGTTTTTGCATACCTATTTTTGGGTAGTTTTTGGTCTAGATTTGGAATTTGATGTCTGAAATTGCATTATCTTTAAGATTTGGCGAGATGATGAGAGACCTAAAGGCGGAGGTTAATTCTTAAAATACTCGTTTTGTCAACTGCCAAACTCTAGCAGATGAATATAACCGGTAGTAGGTAGTAGTCTACTTTCAATTTTAGTAGCTCAACATTTTCATGGACATCATATATTGAATTTTTTAGGAGACATTAAGGATTGATCAGGATTTCATTCGGAATATTGGAAAGCTTTCAACGAGATTTCTGGAAAAAGTTGTAGAAGGTTGAATTTCGTGTTTTAATATGGGAAGAAATGGCAAATGAATTAGTGGAGTGAGTCTAGTAAAAAGAAATGGTACTTCTGAAGGGAGGTAACTTTTACTAAAAATGGGTTTTTACTTCTTAAGGGAGGTAACTTTTCATTAAGACTAATTTTCATTTACAACATAGGCAGGGAATTGGACTCTATGGTGTATAAAAATCCAATTTCAGAATATAATTTATTTTAATATTGCATTCAATTTAACAATAAAACAATTTAACAATAAACATCCATACAAGCAAAGATAATTCTTTTAATGAAAATCTTGTCCAAAGTATGACAATCTCAAGACTACAAGATATATAGTAGTGGTCTCCTCCAAAAGGAATTACTATCACGCGTTTCAAAAAGAGTAAGCATGTTCTGCTTCGCGCCCGACACACCTACGATATAGGTCAACATCATAAGATACGCCGAGCAAACGAATCCGCCAACATGCAAGAAACAGATTTATCATATTTGTCTTTACAATTTCTGAGGAGCAAATTTCTGAGGAGTAAGTTTTTATTACGGTCCCATTTAAATTATGCTACTCAGGGCAATTTGAAAGGTTTTACTTCTGACCTGTTAAATATATACAGATCTTTAGCATTATTTCTGAAAATGGCGGCTCTAATGCTGAACCCACTGTTAGACACAATTAGAACTTTACACTTGGACAGTATGATTTGATCAATTATTGAAGTTTCGAACCCAAGGCAGTCCGCGTCCATTCCTTTTTGTCTGTCAATGTGTAGGATTTTACCCTCGGAATCAAAATAACGCTTCGTGAATCGCCGTCGTGCTGAATCTCGAACTTCGATATTGTCAGTTGCGACAAATATTGTATTGGCTTTGTCAAATTTGTCCATAAAATCCCAAAGTTTAGGCACACTGGTTAAATTATTTCTCGCTGGATCGTTCGGTAAATTTCTACTCTTTCCGATGCGGACATGCGCACAAGTCATATCTTTGGACAAAGACAATCTTTTCAAATGATTGATCACGTGACGTGATGGTTTCATCAAAGATTCCCAAATAAGTTTAAAAATTTGTCTTCGTGTCGTCCCACCTTTTAGATAAGGGGGTAATTTATGCCGGATACGACGATAAATGTAATCATTTCCAGGGGCATTAGTTCTTAAATAAATGATCTCGGTAGTGTCGTTTGACAAATTCACGCCTCCTAAACCAACGGAGTTGATGATTTTCTGTGGATTCCCGATCAGGTCACTTTCAGGAATAATCCAGTTGTATTTATTTGGAATAAAAAATTGTCGAACATCACAAGGTGTAGACATGATGATTCCAAATTTTCTATCCAGCTGAATCGACATCATAAAGGTGTAAGCTATTCCCCGCTGTCGATCACTGAAACCACCACAATATCGTTTACTATCACAGAGGTAGATCAAATATTTTGTTGTTTTGGTTATTTTCACCACCACTGACTGTGTCGTGTTATTAACTGATGGTTTGGAATGTTTTTTAGATGTTGCTGTAATGTTTTTTTTTAATTCGGTGTTACTCTTTGAATTGGCTATTGACGTTGTTTTCACTTTTGACGACACTTTTCCTGGAACATTTGACGCGATTTTTGTGATATTCTGACCCTTTGCACCTAGTGTGCCCTCCAGTGCAGATTGGGGCCTGTTTTTTAATTTCTTTGCAGAAGGTAGTGATGTCATGCGTTTAGTATTGGTCATCGCCCTGATATTTAGAGCAGTTTTTGATTTTACATTCGTCCGGAAATGTTGTAAGGTATTCAACTTGACATTTGGCTTGGTGTTTATTTTGCGATCGTTATCGGTATTGGACTTGTTATTGGCATTTGCGTTAACCTTAACAACTGTATAGGTATTACGATTAGATTTAGTTTCAACATGGAATTGTGACTCCTTCTTGTTATTAGAATAAAGCTGTGTGTCGTCGTTGAAGAAATGTAATCTAAAACTGAGTTGTGGGGGAGATGTTGTATAAAAATATATCATTGTTAGAGATATAAATATTAATAATCCTATATAGAGTCGAGATCTGTTGATAGTCTTCCACATTCTTCAGTCTGAAATTATAGAAATAACAATATTAAAAACATCCTTCAATCTGAAATTATAGAAATAACAATATTAAAAACATCCTTCAATCTGATATTATAGAAATAACAATATTAAAAAAATCTTTCAGTCTAAAATTATAGACATAACAATATTAAAAACATCCTTCAGTCTGAAATTATAGAAATAACAATATTAAAAACATCTTTCAGTCTAAAATTATAGAAATAACAATATTAAAAACATCCTTCAATCTGATATTATAGAAATAACAATATTAAAAATATCCTTCAGTCTGAAATTATAGAAATAACAATATTAAAAACATTCTTCAGTCTGAAATTATAGAAATAACAATATTAAAAACATCCTTCAGTCTGAAATTATAGAAATAACAATATTAAAAACATCTTTCAGTCTGAAATTATAGAAATAATAATATTAAAAATATCCTTCAGTCTGAAATTATAGAAATAACAATATTAAAAACATCTTTCAGTCTGAAATTATAGAAATAACAATATTAAAAACATTCTTCAGTCTGAAATTATAGAAATAACAATATTAAAAACATCCTTCAGTCTGAAATTATAGATATAACAATATTAAAAACATCTTTCAGTCTAAAATTATAGAAATAACAATATTAAAAACATCCTTCAGTCTGAAATTATAGAAAAAACAATATTAAAAACATCCTTCAGTCTGCAATTATAGATATAACAATATTAAAAACATCCTTTAGTCTGAAATTATAGACATAACAATATTAAAAACATCCTTCAGTCTGAAATTATAGATATAACAATATTAAAAACATCCTTCAGTCTGATATTATAGAAATAACAATATTAAAAACATCCTTCAGTCTGAAATTATAGAAATAACAATATTAAAAACATCCTTCAGTCTGAAATTATAGAAAAAACAATATTAAAAACATCCTTCAGTCTGAAATTATAGACATAACAATATTAAAAACATCCTTCAGTCTTAAATTATAGACATAACAATATTAAAAACATCCTTCAGTCTGAAATGATAGAAATAACAATATTAAAAACATCCTTCAGTTTGAAATTATAGAAATAACAACATCCTTCAGTCTAAAATTATAGAAAGTCCGAAAGAGAAGTTTTAAAGGTAAATTAAAACATGTTCACACTTGAAAACCCACACTTCTTCCTAACAGTAAATTCTTTCAATTTAGTTGAATAATTGTAAATAGCTATAAACTAGCTAGGGGTGCATATCAAAATGTGATAAGGTTGTAAAATGTTTGTAAGACAATGATATAGATGAACTCAATATGTAATATCTGTTTTAATAATCTGTTTTGATAATACTATAACAAAATATAGATTAACTAATATCTAATTGAATGACATGACAAACGTTAAAAGACACTCTAAAAGATGTATTTAGACAGTGGTTTCCCTCCTTTACTTAAGTTCATCCCATAGTGGTTTAAACAGGTTTTTACTACCACTACATGCCGGGCTGTCTATCGTCTCAATATGTAAGCTGTTTTAATAAATGCTTCTATACTCAATATCAGATAGATTGATCAATAAATCACTAAGATATATGGATATACTACTTTTGCATTTAAAAAAGTAAATAACGTTACCTGTATGTGTCCCGGAACGTAGTATGTAATAAACCTAGAAGTAGTATATCTATATAACTTGTGTTTTTAATGTTACCTGTATGTGTTTCAAAACGTAGTATGTAATAAATGAAGAAGTAGTATATCTATATATCTTAGTGTTTTAGTGTCTTCCTACATCTATATGTCTTATAAACAAGATTGATCAATGTTTAACAAACAACAATAATAATATTAACCTACCTTGTACACTGACCAGAATTCTGTTAAAGATTCTGAAGATAATGCAGATAGTTTTCTTCTTGTCTTTGCCTCGAATTCGTGTATAATAACCTGAAATCTGGTAAAGTATTTCACTCTTTGTTCTTGTATGATCCAATACACGACTTAAATTGTAAACAGTCATTTCGTTTACAAGCCAACCCATTCTTTAGGATTAGTGAGGGATTATCTAACTAACCTTATTATTCAATCAACCAAATCTGTAGTAATTAGTACACATTATTTTAATCGTGTCACAAATTATTACAATTTATATCTGATTTAAACACAATCTGTTCACTATAACAACAGTAACCAAGTGATATAATGAAACGACAGAATTTAGAAAAGATATCGATTTATGTTGAGAAAAATAGACGTACTTTCAAATGCACTTGACTGTTAGACACCGCACTGTCCACATCATGTTAGTACTCTAAATTCAACATGCCACCAAAGGTTTCTGCCAAAGGCTTGAAGTGTAAATACTAGTGGGAAACAAAGAAAACGGTGTAAACTATTATTCAAAAGCACCTTATTCATAATCGGACAACCAATATAGCGGATGCAAATCGATTAAAAAAACATCATAGAAATCGATCATCAATGGCAGCTGATAACACAGGAAATTGGATATCTGTGTCCCGATCAGTAGGACAGAGACTATATAACGACTTATCTGATTGAGACGGGATACTATTAAGAGTAAATAGTCTTTTCATCACCACCACCCGTCTCAATCCGAAACATCCTACTCACAAATAAAAGACAAAATCATATGTGCACCGTGTTCTGTTCTGTGTTTTTATTTGCGATTTTCCCTGGTGTAAACAGTCACGAGAAGAAAAAAAATTGAGATAATCCTATATACGTGATATTTATTTATATATTTATAATTCTAAATTTTTAATCAAAAACTTTTTTTTTCATTTCATTTTCATATCTATTCATTATTTGATATTGTACATATTTAAAACAAAAAAGAACAAAAAAATGATCTTGTTATATGATGTATTTTTATTACCATCTAATTTATTAACATAACTTTAAATGGAATCTAAAATCCTCGAAAGAAAGCTAACAGTAGAAATCAGCCCCATGAATCCAAGCAACATTAAAACTGACGAAATGCTGGGTTATTTCAGTGAGATGGAGGCACCCCTGGAAACGGTTCGCTGCTTCCAGAACGTAGGAAATTCAAAGTTCTTGGTGTCTTTCTCTAAGAACGTTGAAAACTGGTTCGAATTCGGTGGAGGCAGCGATCCGTTCAAGGGGATCAAATACAAAATATAACGAGTCGCTAACCTGCCTCAATATTCCCGCCCATCATACATTCGCATTGCCATCTGTAGAATGCCCTACGAGATGGACGGGAAATATGTATAAACTAAAATAAATACATATTGTGTGGCAACAAAATTGATTAGATGCACGTATCGTAACCACCCCAATATATACAATGGGGTGTTTTACGTATACACCAAAAAGTCAATAACCCCATCCCTACATCCTTGACCATTCAGGGATGCAAATGAAATGAAATGAATGGAGTTTTACGTCCTACTCTTCTACACCTTGTGGGCTAATGAAGACGGGCAACGCCATGCAGAGTGCCATGAGGGAACTTTTGCCGGGACAGCGGCATTAGCCTGCTCTTTTTCGATTTCCAACTGTCGAGGGATCTTTAACGTGCACAGCCTGTAGCACACGGGGCCTCGGTTTATTGTCCCATCCGAACGACTAGACGCTTTTTCCATGTCAGCCCCTCCTACCTGCATCACTGACAGGGGGAAACCGGGTTGAAAAATATTCAGGGATGCAGGCTGGGGGTTAAATATGATGGTCAGCCTCTTTCCGACAGACGTTGTTATGTCTGTAGGGAAGATGGCCACGCTGCCAAGGATTGCCCGTACAGACCCCCCGCTCCAACCATCAATGAGCCCGCTACAGGTGGCATGGGGGATCAGGGCACTTCTCTGTCCCCACACAAACACCAAACCAATCCTATGCCCAAAACGTCAAATTATCTAACCAAATTAAGAAATCATTAGCCGATTTAACTAGAATAATTAAGAACTCCACCCCAAACATCTTTGCAATACAACCGGTGGAATCTCCAGCAATAAATACAACTGGTGGAATCTCCAGCAATAAATACAACTGGTGGAGATGAGTGGGCCGAGGTCGAGGTCTCGGACTATGACTGTAGAAGAGAGGCGATTGAAAGAAGATCTCACATTGAGTCCAACCCCAAGCTGCCACCGGGGGAGCTAGACCCAAAGTCCAAATCCAAACTGCTACGAGACCCCGAAATCCTCCCGCTCGTCATAGGAAACGGGACAGAGATCGAACAGTCTATTAGAAGACAATAAAAAATACAAATCCAAAATTGTCTCAAGATCGGATATTTTCTGATCGGAGACGATTCCGGTTTCTTGTAGGCCAACAATATCAGCGGACTTAAAGAAACAAACCAACAGAAAATCTCAATTAGAAAACTCATATCCAACTATCAAAAAAGTCCATAGAAAACCCAAAACAATCTCATTAAATTCATACTTCATTTTCAACTGATCATGATCATAACTACATAAACTATCCACAGAGGGTTCGCCTCAAAACTACACAAAATTTTACGTGACTGCAAGTCCACTGATATCGTTGGCCTACAAGGATGATTCCTCCTCGCTTAATTTAAATTTCAAAAATACACAATCCACTGCTACTGCGTTTACGACCCCTCTGAATATGAGGATAAGGGGTCCCTTCTATATTCTGAACAGTATTTTACTTGACACTCAATCGGTAGCAGGTAGTGGCTCAGTGAGTTAGACGCTTGCTCGCTAACCTGAAGGTCCAGGGTTCAATCCCGGAATAGGTCGAAATAATACCTTCGGATTTTTCAACCCGGTTTCCCCCTGTCAGTGATGCAGGTAAGAGGGGCTGACATGGAAAAAGCATCTAGTCGTTCGGATGGGACAATAAACCGAGGCCCCGAGTGCTACAGGCTGTGCACGTTAAAGATCCCTCGACAGTTGGAAATCGAAAAAAAGCAGGCTAATGCCGTTGTCCTGGCAAAAGTTCCCTCATCGCACCCTGCATGGCGTTGCACGTCTTCATTAGCCCACATGGTGCAGAAAAATAGGACTTAAAACTCCATAATAAAATATTCAAACCAAAACAACTCAGCTTAGCCTTACTCGCCTACGACCAGGAGAAGTCCTTCGATAGACTCAACCGGAAGTACCTGACCAAATTACTGCATTGAATTTCCCACCTAACATCTTGAAATGGATCGAGATATTGTATACCGACCTAAGGGTACACCTTGAACCCGACCTTAACAAATTTCAATTGGCAATAGGTTCTAAAATAAGCAACTCAAAAACAGAAATAATTACTTTCAGGGGGATGGCTACCCTCGTACCAAACTCGCTGGCAGAATATATCAAACCAAAAATCAAACTTTTAGGTATAATTTTCGGCCCTAACAACATCAACGACAACTTCAACCCTATCATAAACAAAATTAGAATAGAATTACTCAAATGGAAAAAACGTTCCCTAACCTTCAGATAGAAAATCCATATATTGAACAGTTTTATTCTGTCACAAGTTTGGTACGTGGGTAGAATTGTAAAACCGGACAAAAAAATCATTAAAAAAATAAATTCTGCAATTTTCAGCTTTCTCTGGGATGGCAAACATGAGACACTTTAAAACTTCCGGTCGAATTAGGTGAGCAAAATGTCTGTGACGTGGCTGTCAAGCTGGGGGCATTCGATGGTCTGGGCCGCCCGCGATATCAGGTATCCGGAAAAAGACTTTCTGTTTCTCGTTGTACATTCGGTCCTGCCTAAAAAATACTTTTTGAGGGTTCGCAGCTCTAAAGATTTTGATCTGAAATGCAAACTCAGTGGAGCTGAAGTAGAAACCCTCGTAAAAACCTGAAGAAATTGCGGGATAGCTTCTGTTGCTACGTGGCAAATACCACCGGCCACGAAGTGGACTGATATACAGGCTTCTAAACATATAGGCCCCGTCTACAGCTGTACAATGTCTCAATCGCAGTCAGTGTCTAGCCCTTTCTTGGACTGGATAATAAAACTAAATCTTCACTAGAGCTTCTGTTGCTACGTGGAAAATACCACCGGCCACGAAGTGAAACTCACAGAATTTTCCACCTTTCTGTATAATGTCCACGCCAGCCTGTATCCTTACATCTATCATTATTTGGACCAATAGGACTCCCCATGCTCCCATGGAAGTAATGATAAATGGACTGATATCTATCTATATGTTTTTGGTTTGTGTTGGGAAACCAATGTATGAAATCCGACAAAATTAAGAAGAAATATATCTTTAATTATCCTAATGTTTTCAACTAAAAATGAAAAATCAAACTGTGCTTTCTTGATTTCGTGTTTTATTAACCCTTTTAAAACATATTCAGGTTCATCAAGTAATAGTAAATAAAATATTTAAGATATATTTTCACGTACAAGTTATAAGGTTTTGATAATAAAAATTTTGCATACTGCCCCTTTTCATAAAACGACGTCTCCAGTCTTTTTTTTCAAATTCAACATACATTTTATTATAGACTGGATAATAAAACTAAATCTTCAAGTTTTACATTTTACTATTAGTGTATATTCAACTTCTTTATAGGGTGTTTCTAATCTGTCGTCCTAGTAATATTATGCATTGATATTCTCGCTTCACATAAACCCCAACATATAGAAATAGTTTTTTTTATTAATTCAAACATTCTATAAAAAAAAAACACGTATACTTATCAAATATTTATAATATCAATAGAAATATAAGATGCACATGAAGACTCCACCCAAAATAAAATAAAAGATGGATGTGCTTCAATTTCTTGTTGACAAAATCGGTTGACAATGCAACTGATAGTAGTTATATATATTGAGAGTAACAATAATTTGAGCGATTGTTAAAGGTCGACCGACTGACCGAGTTGCATGAGCGTACCAACAGCTACAAAACTGCAGTTGTCGCGTGTTGCCGTAGCGCACCAATAAATACAAAACGCAGTTGTCGCGTGTTGCCGTAGCGCATCAACAAATACAAAACGCAGTTGTCGTGTGTTGCTGTAGCGCACCAAGAAATACAAAACCCAGTTGTCGCGTGTTGCCGTAGCGCATCGATAAATACAAAACGCAGTTGTCGCGTGTTGCCGTAGCGCACCAACAAATACAAAATCGCAGTTGTCGTGTGTTGCTGTAGGGCACCAACAAATACAAAACGCAGTTGTCGCGTGTTGCCGTAGCGGACCAACAAAAACAAAATCACAGTTTTCGCGTGTTGACGAAGCCTACCAACAAATACAAATCGTAGTTGTCGCGTGTTGCTGTATCGCACCAACTAATACAAAATCGCAGTTGTCGTGTGTTGCTGAAGGGCACCAACAAATACAAAACGCAGTTGTCACGTGTTGCCGTAGCGGACCAACAAATACAAAATCGCAGTTTTCGCGTGTTGCCGTAGCGGACCAACAAATACAAAATCACAGTTTACGCGTGTTGCCGTAGCGCACCAACTAATACAAAATCGCAGTTTTCGCGTGTTGCCGAAGATTACCAACAAATACTAAGCGCAGTTGTCGCATGTTGCCGTAGCGGACCAACAAATACAAAACGTAGTTGTCGCGTGTTGCCGTAGCGGACCAACAAATACAAAACGTAGTTGTCGCGTGTTGCCGTAGCGGACCAACAAATACAAAACGTAGTTGTCGCGTGTTGCCGTAGCGCACCAACTAATACAAAACGTAGTTGTCGCTCGTTGAGAGAATGATTGAAACAATATGTATTCACAATATTTTACAATATATATTTACATTCATATAGACAGAGTTATGGTTTAATGGTTCGAGGCTAATACAAATCCCTTACCATCGATTGAATCTAATTGTGCTCATACAAGTAATAAGTAAGAGATCAATTGCATTTCTATGATATTATGGTGTTAATATAGGGAGGAGGAAAAGAAAAGTGATTTTGGCCTGGGTTTGAGGAAAAAGGACAGTCATCAATTTCTAAACATACCTTATTGCGGGATCATCAAAAAATAAAATAGCAGTGCTAGTTAAATAAAACATGACCCAATTTGAAGGCATACTTGGTCTTCAGGAATACTACGTCTTAGAATAAACATAACATTTAAAATTATTAACTTGACTTTTAAGTATATATATTCATCTGTAGATATACCTGGTGTCATAAATAACATAACAGGATCCTTATATAATTTGATAAACCCAAACAAACTTAGTAATTATCCATAAATATGAAATTAACTGTTCATTCTAAGTAGTATCACTTTAAAAGATCATTGTATCACATTATTAGATTAGATTGGGTGAAATCAGAGCAATTATTGTAACACTGAATCGCTTTGTTAGTGTTATAAATGACTGGACCACTACAAAAATATGACTGTTGGTTTCAGTGTCAGCAGTATTTGAACCATTCGGGGGAATATTTATGCGTCTGAGACCAGGAAGGAGGGTGAGTGAGGTTTGTCTGGTTTCGCTGAAAAGTGTAGTTTCTGTATATCAAGAAATAATGGGATCTTCTCCAATGTGGTTAAATAGAGAATCACTACAAGACCAATTTTTTAGACGTTGTCTATCAGGTCTAATCGAAATAATAAACAATTGGTTTATATCTAAATACTAGCTTTATGATTGATATAAATGCACGTCTAATAAAGAAAGCATGTTAGCGAGTCACCTGTAATATCCTATTAATTCTGATTCTACTTGACCAACTTTTAATGAAATAAAAAGTCTTTTTTAATTTTTTATTTATTCCCCTTTTCACTGAAGCCTATAAACAAAATTTGAATTTACCCATAAAAGGGACAGTATGAAAGATTTCCATTATTAAAAACTTATAAATCATACACAAAATTTTTATATAATACATCTATTTTACTTGTAGGTTTATACCTTCATTTCATTATAATTATATAACCGTATGTACTAATGGTTAAGTAAAGAGTTTAAACTAGCCTTGATGTTCTGCCAGATATTTGTATATTTATAAATCGGGTGTCGCAAAAAAGTCGTCCTAAAGTTCGACGAGTAATCTCAGCTGTTGGTAAACTGATCTCTTTCATAATTCTCACAGATATACTTCAAGATGACGTTGTCAAACCCTGAAAATATGTTATGAAGTAAATAACATGTCAAAAATTCAACTTAAATATAATATACATGAACCTACCTGTCACTTCACAAATAAGTTGCTCCTCTACATTTGCCTGGAAGAGTCTTGTTGCCGCCGTTGCTCTTAACGAGTAGTTAGTTTTCGAACCCGGAATTCAAGCCGATTTACACAGTCTCTTTATGGTCATCTGTAGATAATTATGCCCAACTGGTAGACGAGAGAACCATTTGTTTTGACTATAATTTATCATCGGATTAAAGTAAAAGTAATCCGTATCTATTCCACCAGAACTGAAACAGTGTAAATGCGCAATAATATTGGATTCTGAAAGTTAGTTTTTCATGGTTACATTTGCATTAGTCGATTTGATAAGTTTATTTCGTGAATAATTATTGGACGTGGGTTGAGTTAAAATATTCGACTGTCTAACGAGGCAAAACTATAAGTACTGACTTAGCATCTAGATGGTTGATTATTTTCGTAGGCACGAACTTCCTTTGGTACTTTGTGGTCCTTCAGGCCTCCATGATTTGTCTTGGATACATCATTATACAAAATATAACGTCGACCCTTCTCATCCACGTGCGGACCTGTTATTTGTGGCTTTGAAAATAGTCTCGGTGTTCCCTTCCACCTCGCAAGTCGAAATTCCGCCCTGAAGAATACAAAATATCACAATAATTAGAGTAACCAGTAACGTACATTTAATAATCGTGGACATTTGCGACCATACAAGACAATAGGTGACAAGAAAAACGTCCAAATGTATCAAATATTTTCTGTATATATTGTATTTTATATTGAACCTCAGAATTAATATGATTCTGAACACAGTGAAAAGCAATTAACAAATAACATCATCAAAGCTATGAAAAATAACTGTGAGATACTGTATCAAGAAACCTCTTCGCCCAAATGACCCATTCTTCCACAGTAAATCTTCTTCATCGCTGGAAATGATTTTTGTCATTTTTCTATTGGAAATTCCTAATCCTTTCTTAGAGAGGTTGCGCATAGCAGCATCCAAACATTTCCGGGCCTCCCGAAATTCATTATCTTCAAACAAATTAATGACAACTCTATTCTCTCTCAGTGAGGACTGAATTGCTGCGTAGAGTGCATAAATGCTGTTTGCAGGATATTCAGAGCCATTTTGTTTTCGTGCTTCAAAGATAAAGTATTTCAGAGCAGTATTCAAACATTCTTTATCCATTCTTAATAATGGCATGTATAAGCATGAGGCGGGCAATAGTAAGTTTTCTTTCATGGCCGTAGTCTTCTTTCTTCCTGCCACCTTGAAAAGACGAACACTACCCAGGAGTTCCGATATCTTGTTGATTTCGGAACACACACCTCTGTTTTCTTTTCTATATCTTTTTCACATAAAGGCTCCCCAGATCTGTACTGAAAGTCGTCTCTTACCGTTTCCTCCGGCGTAAATACAGACTGGGTCAGAAAAATGTCGTCTCCGCTGTCCATCGCGTCATTTCTGAGTACAGTATAAAAAACAACTGACCGACCACGTGGTTAACTCTAATCACTGGCACGTGCATGCTGTGTTTGCGCGACCCGACATAGCTTACATTGTGGATTAAAATTTGATTTGGCGATAAAAATTAAAATAACGGTTTATAAGTAAGATAAAACACTTTCCCTCGGGTTTTTATGACATTTAAAACCCTTTCCCTCGGAAAATCCCGCGTGATATGGGATTTTAAATATAACAGAATCCATCGGCCGTGTTATATCCTATACTTAATAAGGGATTAGAAAAAGAATTAAAACCTATATTCAACAACAAATTGAAAGGCAGTCTCTGAAATTAAATAAAAAGATTCATTCGTATTAATAAAAGAATTTGAAAATAAAAATGCTTATTATTTAACTTTAGCCTATAATGATAGGGATATAGAAGGTGAAAAGTATGGATTTGTTACAAAAATCGAAGGACTTTTATATGACACTAGCAGATTTAAAGCTTTAGCTAAGCCAAACCCATCTATAATAGATATTATGCGTGAAAATAATCACACTAATGTGGTTATTACTATATCATTTCCCTTTAAATTAAAAATGAATCAGTAATTATTTCTTAAAATGTTGTAACTAAAACTTCATACAAGGATTTATTTTTTGATAGAGAATTTTGGACAATATCAGATGATAGAAAAAAATATTTTTAGAAGCTTATTAAACCACGAATTAGTATATAATGATCATATTTATGAAATACCAATAGATACAGATTTTGTTGATGGATTTGAATTTAGAATAAAAATTGCCCAAACTGAATAAACCAAATTATGTGTATGGTTTATTTCTCCTCGATTTGATATTAGTAAAAGATGAAAAACCACTTAATTTAATAAAATCTAATTTAGATCATGAGGGAAGAAAAACATTTGAAATATTGAAAGGGAAAAAATTTGAATATTTAAGGGTAAGTTAAGATTTTTTTTTTATTTTCTTAACAACAGATATAAATAAATAAGTCTGAATTGAATAAAGAATTTGAAATAATTTTCAAATAGCCCCAGAACCACTATCGAATATTTATTGTACAGCAAGACTTAAAATAGTCAGTATTAGTGAAATACTTTGAAATAATTCAACGAGGATATCTTTATACAGTATTTAAGGATAGAGAAATTAATCAAACGGTTGAGTTAAAGATAACAATATATACTACAATTAGATGTTCTGACTTATGGAAAAATTACTTTAACATGCAATTAAAAAAAATACTACTGAAAAAGGAAGAACTCTACGAAAGTGAAACAAATCTATTGATTTCACGAACTTTACAAGAGGTTATGATATGTAAACTAAACGAGTTAAAAGAGCAATTAAAACAGTGTGATAAATCAAAATCTCGTTGGAGTAAGATTGCCACTACTTTAAAACCGTAAGTATTATATCAGTTATTCTTATAACAACCTTTACTGCAGTAACATCAAGAATATCCCTGCCGTTATTTATTCCAGCTACCTTAGGAGCACTTACAGCTGTTCAAACATCCTCATGTGGAATAATTACTATTGGCTATACCTCTAAAAAGAAAATGAATCATAAAACAAAAACAAATTTGATAAAAACATATTTAGATAAATTATTTATCTTTTTTGAAAGAAGTAAATCAGACAAAATAATAACAATAGAAAAACTCGAAGAATTTAATGAAATATTAAATGAATTACTAATTAAAATTGATTCTTTTGATAAATTGATAAATTTAAAAAAAATCATGGGAAAATACCCAAAGAAAAATCAGTATGAAATGGGAGCACGAATTAAACAGCTAAAAGCTACCAAACAAATGCGCAAACCACCTAAATATGTAATAAAACGAAAACCACATACATTTGAAATAAAATGAAAACCACATACATTTGGACCTATTAAAGAGAAAAAACCTGACGAAGAGATTAAAAAAATTGAAAATGAATTATTTGATCACGTGATTCGTGACATGATTGATAAATTCAAAACGTTTAAAGGCCAATGGAGAAATTTTTCAATTAGCGTTTTTTAATGATAAAATGATTGAAAGAGTCGTCAAGAAAAATACAGATTGGTATTTTACTAATCGTTTAATATTTCGTAAAAACATTTCAAACAAATCATAAGATCAAAAGTAGGAAAAGGAACTCAACTGCTTTTTAGTATCAAGGAATATACTGGAAAATATTGTTACATTCCATCTGACGGAACATGTTTTATTAAATGTGTCAATTTTGTTTTGAAGCGTGATTTGACTTACGAATTCAATGATTTTATTTATTCCTTTCCTAAACATAATAGAAAGGGAATAACGATACAAGCTCGAATTGGAAAATCCAATGATAGAAATCAACTCTGTTTCAAATTTATTATCCTAAAGATAGGTGTTTATATCCTAGAAATATAAAAACACCATTAGATTGGGTATTGTATTCACACAATGATCATTTCTGTTTGTTAAAAAGAAGTGAAGAAACTCTTGGAATAAAAGAAATAGAAGGTAACTTCAAACAAGATTGGAAATCTTGCGATGAACAAAACTGAAAACTTGTTTCAGAATTTAATCCATCGGCTCATGCACAAACACCACAATCTGAAAGTATGTATGCGTGGGATTGTGAAACTTATACAGAAGAAACCGGTTAAAACAACACCATATTATGCTTGTACTTTGGTTAATCTGGATAATTTGCGAAAAATGTTCGAAAGAATAAATGGAGTTTTTCAAGACTTAAAACCATCAGATAATATCACCGAAGAGTTTTATGAAAAAATAATGAATATAGTTTATATATTTATTGGAGTAAACTGTATAGATCAAATGTTAAAACATTTAAGTTCCATCCATCAAAAACAGTTAACTCTAATTTCTCATAATGGTAGCGGTTTTGATAACTGGATTATTATTAAAATATGGCTAAATTAACTCATTGTCCTTTCAAAACCAGTAGAGACATAATTTGTTTATCATTATCTAATCCTTTTACAGAAACACGTTTACAGAAACAATGGAATGGGGAAAGGAATTTATCAACAAAACAATCATTTTCAAAAAATAAATTTCACCTGTTCCTATCAACAGAATTACCAATGAATTTAAGAATGATTGATTTAGATATCACGAAATTTAACGAAACAAATTGGGAATCTCGAATAGAAGAATGGGAGCCTTATGCTAAAAGAAGATACTATATTATGTTTCGCAGGATGTTTGATTAAATACAATCAAGTTATGAAATCTATGATAAATCCAGCTATTATAAATAATTTAATAGCACCTTCTCTATCTCCTAAAGGTTGGTATTATTTATATAAAGGAGAAAAAGTATGTTCTCACTTCAGTCGACATTGTTCGAGCTGGTGGAAGGATTATCAAAATATTAGATGGTATAGTCTACGAAGAAAATTTCAAAACACCTCCTTTTAAAGACTATATATTGACTTTAAAGGAAAAAAGAAATGAATACAAACAACAGGGTAATACTGTAGATAGCAATTGCATGAAATTATTGGGAAATTTACGGTAAAACTGTGCAGAAAGATATAAATACAGAATTTCATTTATGGTCTGAAGAAGCTCATAAAGCAAATTTTGATTCAAATATAATTCGTTTCGAACAAGTAAATAATTATCAATACATAGTGGAAAAAGAAAAAGAACCCGAAATTATTGAACCAACAAAAACAACGAAATTAACTCCGAGTCAATTAGGATCATTCATCTTAGCACATAGCAAACAAATAATGACTAATTTTATTCACGTACTTGATGGATTTGTCAAACCCGAAATATACTATACTGATACTGATATCTTGTACATATCAGACAAAAATTGGAATAAATTGGAAAAAGCTGGTATAACTTTTGAAACGGAATATGGAAAGGGTAAGCATTACTATGGAGATGGAGGTATAATATTTTGTTTATATTTCGCTCCGAGTAAAATACAATATTGGAGAATTAGTGGAAAAGAAAACTTTTAAAGGATATACAAAAACTAAGTTGACTGTGGACGATTATCTTAAATTAACGAGCGGAGAAGACAAATCATCCTCTTCTATGTTTGAAATAATATGTGTTAACTCTGATTTAACGCTGGGTGAAACCATACACGACTTGTCTCCATATCTACTGTTGAGCCAATGACTAAAATTGGCGACATTTGTCTCATGTTTAAACGAAATCAATAAGGAATGTGAGATATTTTATGTCTAGACTGTAAGTCGTTAAGACCTCTGTGTGCTCGCCTGGGTATGGAGCGAAATATGGTAGTTGCTCGCCTGCTAGGGTACTTACAGATATCCTGCAATTACGTCGAATATCCAACGTAACCTTTTTCGAAATTTTATATTTATAGATACGAACTCGATTTCCAACTTTAAATTTGGGTTTGATATTCAAATTCTCATTTTCAAAATTATTTTGTGTTACTTGACAATAGGATATTGGGATTCTTTGAGGCTTGTGAAGTAGTCACACCTATAGATGAATGTAATTTGTTATTATGTTCGTCAACAACAATTGGTAATATTTTAAGCCATTTTTGGGAATTCAATTCTGTGAACTTTTTGAATAATTTGTTTTTCAGAGTTCTATTAAATCTCTCGATAACTACGGCTTTACCTTCGTTATATGTACTGTAAATGTCAAATCCAAGAGATTTCATATTTTTGTTATAAAACTCGGTTCCTTTATCTACCAATAACTTTTTGGGTTGTCTGTCAGATTGTTTCATAATTGTTTCAAAAGCATGTTTGACTGGCATTCCTGATTTGTTTTTCAGAGGAATAACCCAAACATATCTGGTATATAAATCTATAATTGTTAAACAATATTTATATCCTCTTTCAACTGGCATATTAATTAAGTCAGCTGACCATATATCATCTTTGGCGTAAACTTGAACTTTTTAGTTTTTCTGAATTCTTTATGAATTTCATCTGTTATTCCCATGCCTAATTTCATTTTTGATATTAAACGTCTTGTGACTATAGCTCTTGCAACTTTTTCTCGAATAGATTCTAATTCGTGAATCATTTGTTGATCCGCTTTATGTTTAGATTCTAAGTCTGTATGATCTCTGTATAGAATATTGTGTTTTCGCGCTGCTTGGTCTATTCTGTTAATAGGTCCTTCTCCTGGTTTGATTGGCCGATGTAGCTATGTCCTGATGTTTTCGTTCTACTCTCCATGAATTAGACCAATCCCTTTTTGTGTAATTCAAGTTGTGTAATTCAAAAGAAGATTAATGTTTATGAAAAATAACTATTGACTATTTTGTATAGAATAAATTTGATAGGCGATTCAATGTAATAAGAGATTATATTGTTCAGGATTGCATATTATATAAATAAACCTTACCGGTATAATATATAGTGAAAATTAGAGTAGATATTTGTTTGTTTTCATATTATTATAGAATTAGGTGTGGGACCTTTCATATTGGACGTATTTAGGCCCGAAATTGATTTTTTTTATGCCATTTTGACGTAAAAAACGTGAAAATTGATGGTTTTTAGGCATAAATGTGTCCAATATGTGTCATATGACTTTAGTTCAGCTATGATATTTGATAAAATTGATGACTTTATTCCAGAATGATAGAATGCATGTTGTCGCTGATTTATATGAAAAGTGATAAAGTGTTAGTAGTGTAGAGAAAGTTTTCCTTGTGGTCTAAATGTTACGATTGAAAATGGTATGTGACGTGGCGCGTTATTTATCAGGTTGGGTCAACGGTTAATTTGACGTTCAAGAGGGCTGTCGTTAGACCCTATCTGAAGTGGTTATAGTATTGATAAAAGCTAATAAAAAATGAACGATGGTTTGGTCTAATCATATTTAGACTGTCAATTTGGCGCTCTGTTGTACTTTCCAGTTTAATACTATCAGTTAAGCTATTTATTACAGTATTCTGTTAATGGAAATTAGTTCAATTTCACAGAATTAACAGAATCTATTCAAGAAAATAGAACCCTGTCACAGAGTCTAGTGTAACCCTATCACAGAGTCTAGTGAAACCCTGTCACACAGTCAGTGAAACCCTGTCACAGAGTGTAGTGAAACCCTGCCACAGACTCTAGTGGAACCCTGTCACAGAGTCTAGTGAAACCCTGTCACAGAGTCTAGTGAAACCATGTCACAGAGTCTAGTGAAATCCTGTCACAGAGTCTATTGAAACCCTGCCACAGAGTGTAGTGAAACCCTGTCACACGGTCAGTGAAACCATGTCACAGAGTCTAGTGATATCCTGTCACACAGGCTAGTGAAACCCTGTCATAATGTCAAGTGAAACCCTGTAGTATAACTGGGGTGCAAACCATTTTCTACCTCCACTGACGCCGCATGAAGCATTATTAATCATTACATTTTATCTATCAATAAATAAACATAACTTAGCATAAACAATACATTTAACCTTTCCTCAGTCCGCCATTGCTTTAACAGTCTCTCAGACCGCCATTGCTTTTAATGATTCCCCAGACCGCCATTACTTTTAATGTTCCTTAGACCGACATTACTTTTAACCGTTCCTTAGACCGACATTACTATTAACCGTTCCTTAGACCGACATTACCATTAACCGTTCCTTAGACCGACATTACTATTAACCGTCTCTCAGACCACTTTAGCTTTTAACCGTGTTTAGGGCAATTTGAAAGGATTTATTTTCTTGTGAAAACTATAAAGATTTTTCGTGTTATTTCTCAACATGGCGGCTCGAATACTGAAACCACTAAATGAGACGACTAGAACACTACACTTGGACAGTATGATTTGATCAATTATTGCAGTTTCGAACCCAAGGCAGTCCGCGTCCATTCCTTTTTGTCTATCAATGTGTACGATCCTTCCCTCGGAATCAAAATAACGCTTCGTGAATCGCCGTCGTGCTGAATCTCTAACTTCGATATTGTCAGTTGCGACAAATATTGTATTGGCTTTGTCAAATTTGTCCATAAAACTCCAAAGTTTAGGCACATTCGTTACATTATTCCTCGCTGGATCGTTCGGTAAATTTGTACTTTTTCCGATCCGGACATGCGCACAAGTCATATTTTCGGACAGATCGAAAGTTTTTAAATGATTGATCACGTGACGTGATGGTTTCATCAAAGATTCCCAAGTGAGTTTAAACATTTGGCCTCGTGTCGTCCCACCTTTTAGATATAGGGGTAATTTATGCCGGATTTGGCGATACACGAAACCATTTTGAGGACAATTGGTTCGTAAATAAATCACCTCAGTAGTGTCGTTTGACAAATCAACCATCCCTCTATCCACAATGTCGATGATTTTCTGTGGTTTCCCGATCAGGTCACTTTCAGGAATAATCCAGTTGTATTTATTTGGAATAAAAAATTGTCGAACATCACAAGGTGTAGACATGATGATTCCAAATTTTCTCTCCAACTGAATCGCAATCATGAAGGCGTAAGTTATTCCCCGCTGTCGATCACCGAAACCACCACAAGCTCGTTTTCTATCACAGAGGTAGATCAAATATTTGGGCCTGTTTGTTTTGTTCAGTTCCTTTGCATTATTAAGACCTTTCTTGGGCCGATTGATTAATTTCTCGGCAGTAGGAAGTGTATTCATACGATTGGATTTGGACTTCGTCTTGATATCTGGAGAAGTTTTCGCCTTGGCATTTTGTACATCCCCCGACTTGACATGGTTAACAATCGACTTAGTATTAGCATTGGAAACTACATAGCTATTAGAATCATAAGAATAAAGCTGTGTGTCGTCGTTGAAGAAATGTAATCTAAAACTGAGTTGCGGGAAAAATGTTGTATAAAAATATACCATTGTTAGAGATATAAATATTAATAATCCTATATAGAGTTGAAAATTGTTGATAGTCTTCCACATTCTTCAATCTGAAATTATAGAAATAACAATATTAAAAACATCCTTCAGTCTGAAATTATAGAAATAACAATAGTAGTATATGTCTTTTCGGATATGACGCATTTCACTTCTGCGCATGCGCAGCTTTTTCAATGCATCATATCCGAAAAGACACAACTGTTAAAATGTATTATAACAGACTCCCCAAACTGTATTATAACAGACTCCATATAAATTACCCAAACCACAGATCATTAAAAATAATACAGTATAAAATAACCGCATTAAAAATGTCTTTAATTTTAAAACACAAACAAAAAAAATTCGAAGGAGACGGTTTCTTCTCTGCGCTAACATCTCTCATCCCCAAAGTGGCCAATTTTGTCTCAAACAACAAATTTTCTCCTTGTATTAAATCTTTCGTATTAAAAATATATGGTGTTTATTGAACAAATATGTCTTTAATAAATGTCCATCCTCCTAAAACGTATTTCGGTGCGGGAGACATTCAAAAGTCATTGGGTTCTCTTCCTGGATTCCCATGGTCAAAATATCCCGGAGAAAAACATCTCCCAGGTCACAATTATACAGGTCCAGGCACTAGGTTAGATCTGCGTTTAGACGAAAATGATAATTCCAAACCAGGGGAAGAACCCGTTAATAGAGTTGACGCAGCAGCGCTCAAACACGACATACTGTACAGAAACAAAGACGTAACATTCAGACACCAAGCAGACAAACAAATGATAGACGAACTCGAAAATATTCCAAATCCCACTTTCAAAGAGAAATTACAAAGGGCTCTTATCATAAAACTCTTGAAGGCAAAATTGAAATTGGGTATGGGCATAGCAGACGAGATTCACAAAGAATTTCGAAAAAACAAACATTACCTCAAAGTCAAAGTTTGTGATAAAGATGAAATTTGGTCAGCCGATTTAATCAACATGCCAGTCGAGAGAGGGTACAAGTATTGTTTGACGGTGATCGACATATACACGAGATACGCTTGGGTCTTTCCCTTGAAAAACAAATCGGGTCTGACTGTCAAACAAGCATTCGAAACCATAATGAAACAATCCGACAAACGACCCCTAAAGTTGTGGGTTGATAAAGGAAGCGAATTCTACAACAGAAATGTGAAATCTCTGGGGTTTGAAATTTACAGCACGCATAAAGAAGGTAAAGCCGTAGTGATAGAAAGATTCAACAGGACTCTTAAAAGCAAATTATTCAAGAAATTCACGGAATTGAAATCTCAAAAATGGCTTAAAATATTACCGGTTGTTGTCGACGAATACAATAACAAAATACATTCGTCTATAGGTGTGACGCCATCCCAAGCCTCTAATAACCCGAATATCATAAAGTCCGTCAACACTCGAAACAACTTTGAAAACGAGATTAGCAATTTGAATATTAAACCCAAATTCAAAGTTGGAGATCGAGTTCGTATTTTTAAATATAAATCATTGTTTCAGAAAGGTTACGTCGGCTATTGGACTAACGAGATATTCATCGTTGATAAAGTAAACAACACATCACCTCCCACGTATGAATTGATCGATCAAGACAAAGAACAAATCATAGGAAGGTTTTATCAAAATGAACTTCAAAAAACTGACTTTTAAAAATGAATCTCGAAACTGAAGATTTAGATGAAAGGTTAAGAAATTTAAATGTCGACAAGCATTTACGCTCTCTTAAATTAAGATTTTTCAAATTTAAATGTAAATTTATTTTCAAAATATTATTGAATGTGTTTTATCAGAATGTTATACAAGTTTTTTCAAACACAAACTACGTATATATTTCGTCAATTGGGTCTTCAGCAATACTTTCCGCCTACTTCGAAAAATACCTAAAAAAAATCGACTTAAAAAATGAATGCGTTTCTCGATAAATACGGAAAAGACACGACCACAAATTTTCAACTTGTGAAATGGGCCAAGGAGTTGAACGTCTCGCCGTTTTATTATTGCATGCGAGATGAAATTGATGAACTGAAATACAAGAAAGGTAAATTTTACGCCATCACAAACATTCACACGTCGGATCAAAAAGGAGTTCATCACTCTGCTCTACACAAAGATTCTTCGAATAACTTTTTTTTCTTTGATTCTTTCGGTCTAGAACCGACAGAAGAGATAACGAAATTGACTAGCAAACCAATCAAATGTTCTACGTTTCAAATTCAAATGCCAGGACAAAAGCTGTGTGGTCAGCTGTCGCTTTGGGTTTTATATCGGTTGAGTTTGGGAGAAAAGTTTGAAGAAATTATAATAAATTTAACAATTAACAAATTTAAAAATGGCAAACAAGTTTGGATTAGGGTCTTTACCTCTAGAATCTAAAAATCCCATGAGTTCTACGGCGTTTATAAACAAAGCGAAACCTTTTTTCGTGGATCAAATCGGAGACACCTTACAAGGGGATATCGATATGAACAATTTCAAAATAACTAATTTAAAGTTTCCAGGAAACGATAACGATGCCGTGAACAAGAAATATTTACTGGATCAAATAAACGCAATTCAAATAGATAAGGACCATGTTGAAAACAGAATAAATGACGTGAAGAAATACTTCAGACGAAATATTAAAAATCTTGTGAACGAACCCAAACTACAACAAGAGTTAACGAGTTTGAAACGTCTTATTCAAGTGGATAAAACAAGTGAGTTGATATCTAAATTAGACGATAAGATTACGAAGGTAAAAATAGACGTCCAACGTTTAATAGACAACCCAAATGTAAACGAGGATAGATTGAAACGAAAACTAGCCGCTTTGGAAAGAAAACTTGGCGAATTGCTAGCAGAACTAGACAAGACCGCGGACAAAACCGAGTTACAAAATTCGATATCCAATTTGAACGAAAAGATCGCGAAGCAAAAATCAGATGTTCAAGATATAATTAACACACTTCCCATTGACAAAGATACGTTGAAACGACAATTGACTGCTTTGGATACTAAAATCACGGACGAATTAGAAAAAGAAGTGGGTGTGATTATTTTTTGAGACAAGAGAGAAAGTTGAGCAAATTAGAAGCTATTGTCACGGACAAATCGTATTATTTCAATCTTCCATTCGAAAGTGACACTGTCTTCGATAGAAAAGATCAAATTTATAAATCAAACAAATACGGATTCAAAGCAGAAATAAAAGTAGGTACTCTCGCATACGGAGAACCTAAAAACGTATTCGATATCGGCGAAACGCAAGAGTTTTCTTTTCGAGGTAATTGTCTGATTCAAATAGAGTTTCCCATGAAGGTTAAAGTCAATAAAGTAGTCTTCAAACAAACCGGTAAGGGCGTCAAACATATTTCATTATTCAATGATGGTAATTTGGAAGAGAATATACGTTTGATTGATAAAAGGGATCAGGAAATTGAAACGAAAAATGGTAAATATGTAGACACCTTTAAAATGAAAGTAGGAAATGATAAGGATATCATTGGAATCAAAGATTTGGATATGATATTGGAGACGGAAAATCCACCATTAACCAACATTGTCAAAATCCACCATCACTTATAATACCCGTATACGTACCCGGACCAATAGAATCGAGCAGTCACGAGTTTTTACGAACAACAGAC